TACCGCTTGAGCCACATCCCCCGCCCCCTCAACTATTTTTTGGTGTGTGGTGCTGAGGATCGAACCCGGGCCGCACGCATGCCAGGTGAGCGCGCTACCGCTTGAGCCACATCCTCAGCCCCAATAAATATTTTTTTTAAAAAAATCAAGTTATAGTTCAACTAGCACTCCAAACCTAGGCAGAGTACCTGATTCTATTTTAGCACTCTATTACCATAGATTGTCAGTTGGTAGAATGCTCATCTCACAAGCACAAGATCGTGGGTTCAATCCCCAGCACCACACACACACAAAAGACTCAAGTACTTTAGGGCTGGGGGTATAGCACAGTGGTAGAGCACTTGCCTGGCAAACAGGAGGCCCTGAGTTAGATAGTCTGGGAGGGCAAGGGACTTCAGGGTTTTTGTTTTTGTTTTTGTTTTTAAAGTCCTTTGATAACATGCAAATTATTGGTAAATATGAAAACGCTTCATTCATTCAATCAATGAACAGTCTTGCATTGTTCATGAGAAAACACAACTGTAGTCATTTCTGCCATTTCTTAGTCTTTATCGAGACTTAAGCATTGCTTTAGTTTCTATGCTTCTATTTTCTTTCTGTAAGACCATGGAATAACAGTTGAGTCCTTACACCCAAATCTTTGAAAGTCAACTTTGCTGTCTCACAAAACAATGCTAAGATGTGAGGTGTCAGGTGAATCAAAAGAACATTCTTTTTTTTTGAGAGAGAGAGAGAAAATTTTTAATATTTATTTTTTAGTTTTCGGTTGATATAACATCTTTGTTTGTACGTGGCGCTGAGGATCGAACCCGGGCCACACACATGCCAGGCGAGGGCACTACCGCTTGAGCCACATCCCCAGCCCCGAACATTCTTTTTTTAAAAAAAATATTTTTATATGCAGTGCTGAGAATCGAACCCAGGACCTCACATATGCTAGGAAAGTGTTCCACCACTGAGCCACACCCCCAGTCATGGAAAGAACATTCTTGATCACCTTCACTCCACATTCCACATTTCAGTCTCTTGCAAATTACTGGCAAGAATTTCCATAGTAATTTCCCTATGCCCCTAAGAGAATGCCATTCAATCCTCTTAGGAAGTTTCCGTCTTTTGACCTTTTAGCAAGGTAGGAAAACATGGTAACAGGCAGAGCTACAAAATATAAAAGGTTACATGTAAATGTATACAATTTATGTTAGGAGCGGAAAGGTATCTCAAAAACCCCTCCCCCAATTTTCAGCGGAAGCAATTCATGGCCCCAGGAAGGTGGAAAAGACTGCCCCAGATCACAGGGCTGGAAAAACTCAAGTCTGCAATCTCTTAAAACAGCAGTGCTCCATACATTACTTCAGGGATTCTCACCAATCTACCTGCAAGCCATGAGAGGCCCAAGGCAGCCTCAAGGGAGGCATTTTACTGGAGCTGTCAGGGAAAGACAAGCGAAGATTTAACAAGTCAGCGCGTGCCAAGAGTTATTTACCTGGCAAATGTACTTTTGGAGGAAAAGACAGCAAATGGTCATGACAGACATGAACTTTTCTGGCAAGCAGAACAACTAATACCATTTATACTGGGTTTTGTATTTCATACCAGGCACTAAGTCCGCTCTAAGTCTTTGCAACAAAGGTGCTATCATTACTTTCACTAAACAAATGAGGACACTAAAACTCAGAGGACATTACTCAAATCACAGGGTGGCCCAAACACCAACCCAGTTAAATCAGATTCAAAGCTCAGCTAACACGTGGCTTTCTTCATTCTGGAAGCCCGAGCCCAGTGCCACCCGGCCTATGGCCAGGCTGAAACCACGCCCCCTCCCACCCATCCCCGCCTCCCCCACGTGGGTCCTTAACCCCTGCTATTTATTTTAAGCAGTCATTCTCTTCCTTTCCACCCAACCCCCACTCTACTATCCGCTTCCTGGGCAGGCCTACATTCTGGCTTCCGTTAGAGCAAACAGTAACGTACCATTGAGTGCAACTCGCTGCTGCGAATTGAGGTTGGGAGGTGAGAGAAGAAAGTGAGGAATGAGTAAATGGTGGCAAATGGTTTGGATTATCCAGGCCTGCAATTAACCACTACCTGGGACAAACGAAACAAAACTTCTCCCGTATACAACCCAACTTCTAAAATGATGCGTTTGCAAGACGCTCAACAGTTAGAAGCAGCCACCGAGGATGCGCATCCCACGGCCACCCACTGGCCCAAGAGCTGCAAACAGGAGAGAGCTGGGCTGGCGGCTGCCGTGCGTGTGCCCCGAGTCTGGCCAGTCCCCGGGCTCTGGCAAGCGCACGTGCATCTCGAGCACACGTGCCCAGGCTCCCCAGCGTGGCCAACCATCCTTACAAACAGCTCTCTTCTCCGCAACTATCCGCACGCCGGTGCGCATGCTGGCGGGTTTGCCACTGGCCCTAAATTCCCCCAGCGGCACAAAAATCCAAGACTTGCCCAAAAGGGCGACGCCCAGGGCGACCACCAGTTGATAAGCACACTCCGCGGCCGACTCGAGGGGTGTAGCCTCCAGCCCGCTCGCGTCCAGCCCCCATCGCACCCGCCCCCTCAGGTTCGCCCGCCCAGCCCTCACCAGCACGCGGCGACCCTTCATGCTGGCAGCGAGCACCCAGGCTGTGCTCCGAGCCGGGTGAGCCGAGCAGCCACGCGCCGCGGTCCTACAGAGGAGCTGCAGAGGGAGCCGAGCTGCCGGCAGGAGGGGCGCTCAACCTGGGCTCGGAGGGGCGGGGCTCGGGCCGGCTTTCCCGCGTTGTGGTGCAGGTCCTGCAAGGTTAGCTAACAACCCGACCGGGAGCGAGATCTACTCAAGCCCAGATAAAAAACCTTGGCCCTCCACATATTCTGAGCTCAAAGGATAGCCTTGGTGACTCCTAAAATTACCTTTGAAAAAGTGACTCTTTGGGAGCTGTGAGGACGATGCTCTCTACACAGCTACACGGTCCTGAGCGAGTGGCGCGAAAGTAGTTCGTATTGCCCCGGGGTTAGAAGACTGATTTGCATGAATTCCGTGGCTGGGGAGGACAGCGGAGACTGGGATTTTTGGAGAGCGGCACAGGAGATCGGTTTACGCGTTGGGCACTGGCCACTTCCCTTGCACCTTGCGGTTTACATAATTAAAATATATTTATATCAAAGAATCCAACAGGAACCACCCTTTATAAGCCGAAGTACCAACTTTAGGTGTAGCCCCTCTTTATCTGGTAACCACACCATTGTCTAAAGCACTTAAATGATTTAAATCCCGACCTTTCCAGAAAGCGCAGGAAGTTGACTTGTTTTACTTAAGACCTGTAGTATTCAAAGTTAAAAACAGCCCCTGCAGTTTAGTGAAGATCTTTAAGTGGGATTTAAAAAATTAAAAAAGATTTTAGAGAACATCCGTTGGAGATAGAAGCTGCAGGCTACATTAACATGGCTTAGAGATATTTCCTTCTGTCAGAATTAGGATTAACGGAGTCAAGATATTTTTAATGCCCTTTGAATCAAACCAGGCAAGGCGACAAAGTAAAGTGTGAGGCTTTTGTTTGTGTATGGGTGGGGTGGATACTGGGGATTGTACTCTGGAGCACTGACCAGTGAGCCACATCCCCTTTGTGTTTTATTTAGAGACAGGGTCTCACTGAGTTGTTTAGGGCCTCGCTTTTGCTGAAGCTGGCTTTGAATTGGGAGTCCTCCTGCCTCCGCCTCCAGAGCCGCTGGGATTGCAGGCGTGCACTACTGCGCCCAGCCTTTTTTTTTTTTTTTTTGTAAAGAGCAAAAAACTTGCTTTGAGAAGAAAGAGCAAGAATTTGGGTTGCTTTAAAAGGCCCCTAATTATGACTTTAAATTTTAAAAAGTGCTTGAAGTGAAAACATTCGCATTTCCCCCAGCATTTCAATTTTTTTTTCTGTAGGGACTAATTCCTTGGTAGTTAACAGCATGGGAAGACCCAATGAGTGCCTCTCTGGATATATTGGAAGATAACAACCTATAAATAAATAATGCATAAGAACAATGGATTGGGAGGAGTCTTAGAGCTTTTCTTAAACACTCCTGCCCAAAGGTAACCTTGTCTCTGTGTAAGAGCTAAAGAATTCAAGATCTGGAAAGTAGGGGCCAGGAGGAGAAGCTGTTGGTCTGTCTGAAAATTACTGGTAGTAATAAATATTTGTTGAATGAATGAACAACTAAATGAATGAATTAAAATTGTCCTTAGTGCAGTGTCCTTGGAAGATAGTTTTCTGCCATTAAGATTAAAAACATTAGCATTTGTAATTGCCAATCACATAAACTAGGGAAGATTAAGTCACTCTGCCTGTGAAAAATTCTGATAAGAAAATTCTTAGTCCTCCTGAGGCACTAGATAATAGTTTGGATTACATGCTTTTTAAAGATAAGCTCTCTGATTCTTTTTTAAGAATATTTATTTTTTAGTTGTAGTTGGATACAATACCTTTATTTTATTGTGTGGTGCTGAGGGTCCAACCCAGGGCCTCCCACTTGCTAGGTGATTGCTCTACTGCTGAGCCACAACCCCAGCCCAAGCTCTTTGATCTTTTTAAAAAAGATATGTACTCTTTTTAGTAATCAGGAAAATGAAAACTTAAAACAAGGAGATACAGTTTTGCTCTGACTGGCAAAACTATAAAGTCTGATAAAACAAAGTTTGAGTAAGGATTCAAGCAACTCTCACAAGAATGTTAGTACTATAATTTTTTTTTAATATTAGAGAACAATTCAGAAATATTTAGTAAAACCCAGCAACAGCATTTCAAGATATATAACTAGAATTTTTTTTTTCTAGAATAGGTTTGAATCTGTTGGTGGATTGTGACATCAATTCAGTAGTTTGCAACTAGCATATTTTTATATATCATTCTGTGTGTGTGTGTGTGTGTGTGTATGTGTTCATTTACCTTAGTAATTTTATTTTATTGTGGTTGGTAAGAAACACTTAACATGAAATCTACCCTCCTAAGAAATTTGTAAGTATACTGTTTTGTTGACTATAGTTACAGTGTTGAAAAGCAGATCTCTAGAATTTATTCATCTTACTTAACTGAAAGTTTATCCCTGATGATTAGTAGTAACTCCTCACTTCCCTCTCTCTTCCCAGCCCTAGATAACTACTATTCCATTTCAATTTTGTGAAATTGACTATTTTGGATACTTCACATAAGTGAAATCCTGCAGCATTTGTATTTCTATCTTTGCAGTGAAATAGAATATGAGAGCAGTGTGAGTGTTGTACCCTGAAACTTTTCTTTCACTTTTGTGTATAAGTGTGTGACTTATATAAAATGTATCTCTTGCTGTGCTGTGAAGGACCAAGGTACTGCCTTAGAGAACATGGCCCTGCATTTTTTCATTCTGTCAAGAGTCAAAAGAGTTTTGAAGGCTAGTAAGCCAGACAGGTTCTGAGTACTCAGAGGGCAAAGTCCAGACCCTTTATAGTCTGTGGGAGGAGGAGAAATAAACACATAAGACAATTTTAGGTGTGATCACTTCTGAGAAGAAAAGTAAAAGATGAAAAGCAGAAGCAAGATAAAGAGCAAGGAAATGAAAGAGGTACTCATTTCGATAAGTTAAAAAACTAATGTTAGGCCAGGCATGGTGGCCTATAATCTCAGCGGCTTGGGAGGTTGAGACAGGAGAATCGCAGGTTCAAAGCCAGCCTCAGCAATTGCAAGGCACTAAGCAACTCAGTGAAACCCTGTCTCTAAATAAAATACAAAATAGGGCTTGAGATGTGGCTCAGTGGCTGAATATCCTTGAGTTCATCCCCAGTGCCAAAAATAATAAAAAATATAAGTTGTGAAAGTTTCAAAAACATGGACAAAGAGGAGAGGTTTACTGAGAGGAAAGAGGAGAGGGTGGGACCTTCGACTGTATCATAAATGCTTTCATTAAAAATAAAACTAGTATGAAGCAAATATAGAAAGGTGGTAAATATGAGCACTTGGGTGTCTTATATTTTTAATGTAAAATGCCGCAGTCCGTCTGCAGCAAAATAGCCATGTTGTGGAACCAACCTAGGTGTCTATAATGGATGCATGGAAAAGAAAATGTGGTATATTGCCGGGGTCCGGCTGCAGCAGAATAATGGGGGGGGGTGACGAATAACTTGTGTAGAT